GTGTGACAGGGACTTGTAGTTTTGCTTGAGAATTGCTCCCAAAAAACTTATCTCTGGGTTCGGTGGTACATGGAAGCCTGGAGGACCCTTTAAAAGTCGGAGGTGGTATAAGTAAGAGCCAGAGCCATGTCAGCCAGAAAGAGCACTGCAGCTCCAGGGCACTGAGCAATGATGGACAAGACAGAAGCTTATTTGGAATTCTGTGTGGGTCACAGATGTTCCATAATGTCCGAATATGAGGACTTGCAGGGGAAAGCAAAGCCAGAGCAGGTCTTGGACCTCAGTCTGAAATCACAGCAGAGCCTTCCTCCTTTGTGAATGACAATAGTAACATATCCTGTTACATGTTACCTGTCTCGCTAAGGCAGCAGGCCACATGCTAACACACTTGTTCCTTATATATGCATTATCCCTATGCTTTGCACTGTTGTGGCTGTCAAGGAATGCACTACTTGCCCAGTCAGTGATGAATCCACCCAACCCAGTATCCTGTCTCCAACAGTGGTGTTGGGAGAGTCTGTTCAGAAAGAGCAAATGAACCTGACTGCTCTCTGGGTACCATTCCTGGCATCCAAACACTACAGACTCATCTTTGCCTTCTGCCTGGTTATGGACACATTGTCCATGAATGCATCCATGACGTTTTGGAACTGCTCATACTTTTTGCCTTTAAAACCTGCTGTGACTACATATTTCACAAGCTCATTGCCTGCCATGTACAAAAGCACTTTATTATGACTGTTAAATTGGATTTAGTGAACAAGTTTTTCATTCACCTTATTTCCAGGGAGCTTTCTCCTCTTCTAATGGAAAACCGTCAGCTTTTTAAGGGTCCCTTGATAAAACAGCTGCACCATCATTCACAATTCTTTACCTGCCTTTCTTGGTACCTTCCCTTAGTCCATTCTGTCCCTCTTGCAATGCTGAGAGCAGTGAAAAGCCTCAGTAAGGACGTGGGTGCACTTGGGTTTTACACATTGGCAAAGCCATGCTCTTTGCATTATTCTCAACTCTCTTCCTGACGATGCTCAACAATTTGATACTTCTTCTGGCTGACACTGCACACTGGAGTGGTCAATGAAACTGGGAATAACTAATGAGAATACACTATTGTGATCAAGGCTGGCTGTGATATGCAGTTAAATATGGCCATTCTGACTTTTTTTTTCTTTTTTAAACTATATTCTATTGGCAGTCTCAGTGAAAGACAAGCATTACCAGCCAGGGTAACTGCTCCAAATTTGACAACTTTGGATCACTATATTTTTGCAGTCTTCCAATTCTGTCCAGAGAAATAGTAGTATTCTTTATGGTGTAAACTAGAGCACCCACAAGTAACATGCACATTCTTCCTGGATTTGTGTGTAGGGGCCCAGTGTGACTTAAACTTAGGTCTCTTTTGAAAACTTCATCATAAGGATGTGGAATAACTTCTTTCTGACACTTCCATTTGAAGAGGCTTTATGACTCAGATGCACAAATTAACTTCTAGTGAGTTAAAAAGTGGAAGCTTTAGCCCAGAAGCAACACCTACCCAGTTTCATAAGCCTGTCACACATATACTTTAATAAGAGACTGTCGAATAAACAAAACTCACCTATAGAAACAATTAGGCAGTAGCAGTAGTAATTCAAGAAATTTCCAGCAGGTTAGTAACAAGCTGTGAAGAGTCTGTGGCCTGAAATGCAAACTTGAGCCTCTAATTCCTAGGAAATTGTTTGTGTTGTGATGGTTATTGCTGCTGAACAATTAGCCCCTGGAAGAGCTTTAAAAAATTTGGCTTTTAATTTCTCTTTTCCATTTTCAGCATGTGAAGGCTCCAGTTCTGGCATGAATCACAGCTCTAAGAGATCCATCTCTTCCCTGAGGTGTGCATGGGTAGCAGTGAAGCAGAGTGTGCTATAAAGGGAAGAAGCACTGATCGAAGGAAGCAATCAGGTACACATGTGATTCTTTCTCCACGGAGTTCTCAAAATCTAGTCAGAAAAGCTCTTTTAGAACCCTCCTCCCAGAATTCTAAGCAGTCTAGATGACACAAATATTCCTATAGAATTTGTACATAAGAAAAAAAGGTTTGATTGCTACCTGTGGTTTTTTCTTCAATTAATTAAACAGAAATTGCATTTCTGTTTTGTTACAAAATAATTACACTTTATAGTGCCTGATGTTTCCTGAAACTTTTTCTCCTTTTCTTGTGGCCACCTTCAGCATCTCTCTGTGAGTCTTTTCAAATGTTTATGAATCTTCATCGTTCACTCCTCTGTCCTAAAGACACAGTCCCTGATAGTTGGAAGGTGGGTACTTCCCAACAGCCTGGAAATGTCTCTGGAAAGGAGCCAGTTCTTTCCTTGAGGTCTGTTACGAGTGAGTAAGAGAGATACCCTGAATCAGTAACAAATCCATGCTCTCTGTGTGCTGGTTGAAGCTGCTGTGCATAAATCCTACTGATGGCATTAGTTATGGTTATAATTAAAGATATGCCATAAAGGTAATTATTTACTACAGTTGTAGAAACAGTCTGCTTAGAGATCTGTGCAAGCAAATTTAATGCAGTTCTTTACTATTTTGGATGCTCCAGAAACGAGACTGTGTCCCAGAACTTCACAGGGCTCCGGGTTCAGATACTCAACATACAAGTAGTCATATGATGTACACTCAGCCACAAGTGTTAATGAGAAAGTAATTAATTACAGATTCCATGTACTTTGTATTTGAAAGGCTCCACCAGATCCAGTCAGACGTGGTGTGGTGAAAGGAGCTCCTGTAATAGCGATGTAGCTGCCCAATTGGCTGTCTGGAGAAAAGAACATAGCCTAAAAAATGTAACACCCTTTGCTTCTAAATTGGGTTCTGTAGCCTCTTCAATAAGAAAGAATGAGTGAACTTAAAAGTCCAAGGATTTCTATAGTCTGGAGATGGCAACATCAGCTTGGAGATACTTAAAACTTTAACAGGTGAGAATCCCACTTCTTGCTTTCTCAGTGCATTTAAAATTTTTAATTTTTTCATTTAATTTTCTCTTTCAGAGCTGGCTGCCATTACTGCTGACATCATTGAAGAGATTCCCACTCAATTTCAAGGGCAACTGGATTAGTTACCAGGCTTTTGTACTGGAAAGGTGTGCAATTAAAAAAAGCCACACTGCTCCCACTGGGCTGGAGCCAAGGATGACCAAGTGTGCTTGCTCAAGTGCAGCTGTGGCACTTTAGGTGCAGCCCAGACAATGGAACCCAGTCTAGCCAGAAACTGCAGTTTGGCAACTTAGACCCACTGGGGGTCTGCCCAGGCAGGGGGAGCAGCAACAGGGAATTTATTTTATGAGTCAGAGCTGTAATTTCCAAATGGTAGGATTTGATCTGCAGAAGTTATGTCAGCATAACAACTTCACAGTGGCCAGTGAGACTTGTGTCAGGTGTGTGGTTTACCAGGAAGAATCTCCAGCTGGAAAACAATTCTCAGGTGCTTTGCACTGAATGGAAAGCGTAAAAAGTTTTATTAATTTTTTTTGTATAGTGTTTATTGTCTCATTTCAGTACTACCTAAAAAAATAAAAAAACAGACAAAACAAAACAACCCTTTTCTGAAGTATCTGAAGTAATTATCTATTTCCTAAAAATCTTACTGATATGAAGTGACGTCTATACACTGTCTAACTCCAGCTGTAGGTCTCAGCCTCCCAAACAAGGTTTGTATGTGCCCTTACAGAATGATAGAATAGTTTGGGTTCGAAGGGATGTTTAAAGATGATCTAGTCCAGCTGCCCTGTGATAAGCAGGAACATCTCCAACTCCATCAGGTTGCTCAGAACCCCACCCAACATGCCCTTTAACATCTCCAGGGATGGTTCATTTACAAATGCCATGGGCAACCTGTTCCAGTGATTCACCACCCTCACTGTAAAACTTTTCTTCCTTATATATTAGCCTGAATTGACTGTCTTTTAGTTTAGAACAATCCCCTCTTGTCCTATATGAACAGGCCATGCTAAAAAGTCTGTCCCCATCTTTCTCACGAGCTCTCTTTCCGTACTGAGAGGCTCTCATATGGTTTCCCAGGAGCCTTCTCTTTTCCAGAGAACAACCCCAATGTCCTTATTCTTGTGAATTTTCCCATGAACTCCCATGGAAATAGTTGCTTCCGTAATGCTGTGCATATGTTTTGAGGGCTCAGAAAAGACAGGGAAATGATAAACATATGAGCTCAAAACTTCTGAGAAAATGAGGACTGCCAGTGTTTCCGTAATTAAAGATATGCTCTGTAAACTGTCCCTGCCTCCCACTTCCCCTTATCCAAGATGAATGAAATGTGAAACACTTCACCGAGCCTGGGAAGTAAGTTAAGGTTATAGAAGTGATTGCGTTTGATGATGTCACGTCCCTTTTGATGACATGGATGCGGGATGAGACTTTCCTGGGGGACTGTTTTGGGATGAAAAATGATGCAACAAGCCGAGCCCCTCGCTGCGGGAAACCCCGGCGGGGCTCGGGCGCCCCTTACCCCACCCTGGGCCGTGTGTGTGTGCGGACAGAGCAGCGCTCGCCTCCGGCCGGCGGCGGGGCGGACGGCGGAGCCCCCGGGGCCGGTTAACCTCGCCTTACCCCTGACCCTTCTGCGGACTGCCCGCCTCCGAGCGCCGCGCCAGGGCCGGCGGGGCGCGCCCCGCGGCGCCGCTCCCTCCGCGGGTGCCGGCGGAGACCGGGAAACTTTCGGAGAAAGCCACTTCCTCGCCCGGCCCGGCTTGGCGGGGGGAGATGTCAGATGCCGGCAGGGAGAGAGGGAGGGGGAAGGCGGGGAAGCCGCAGCCCCTCCGCCCGCCGCAGACGGCCATGAGCCGCGGGCGAGGGGCCGGCGGGAGGCGGCGCGGAGCGGCGGCGCAGGGAGGCGGCCGGCCCGGCGCTGCGGCGGCCGCTGCCCCGCTCGCCCCTCACTCCGCCCCGCGCAGGGCTTCCCCCGCGGCTCCGTCCCCCCGCCTCTCCTAGGGCGGGGCGCGGGGGAGGGCCGGGCCGCCGGGCGGTGCGGGGCTCAGCCCGGCCATGTCTCCGGGGGCGGCGGCGTCGGGCTGAGCGGCCGTGCGCGCAGCGGGGAGCGCTCTCCGCCACCATGAGGCGGCTGCCCCTGCCCTGCCTCCTGCTGCTGCTGCCGCCGCTGCTGCTGCTGCCGGCCGAGGTGAGAGCGGGCTGCGGGGGCCGGGGGTGCCGCACCTGCCCCCGCCGCGCTGCCCCGGCTGGGCGGGGAGCGGGCGGCCGGCGGGGCAGGTGTGCGGCCGGGCTCGGCTTTGTCCCGGCGGTGCCCCGGGAGGGAGGGCGGGGGAGGCTGGGGGGCCGCGGTGTGGCCCGGCAGGGGCGTTGCTCACCTGGGGCGGGATCCCCGCGGCCTCCCCCGCCCGGGTTCAACCCGGCGGTGCAGCCGCGTGGCTGCCCCCCGGGTGTTTTCCTGGGTAAAGGCTGCCCTGGGTACAACAGGCGCGGCTCCCATCTCCCCAGCGTTGTAGCCTGCCCTCCTCGTGTCGCTGCTGGTTAATTATGTTGATAGGGTGTATGTGATAACGGGGTGTTCGCGCGCTGCCCATGCCGGCGGTGCGCATCACCCGTCGGGTTGCAGCTTTCGGGATCCGCGCGGAGTTTCCACGGGAGAACGCTGCCGTGGTGCGGAGCGAGCAGCCCTAGCGGCGCAGGGCAGCGCATCAGCGGGAGGCCTTGGCCACCGCGCTTGGCTTTGAGGCCCCGCTCTGTTCCCACGTGTGTTGCAGGGTGTTCTTCCAAGAACACCTTTCAGTGATGTAAATCAGAATGGCGTGCCAGGTGCCCCACTCGGCATGCTGGCACGGACTCTCACCCTTGCTTCCCTCAGCTGATGTGTTCTCAGTGTTCCCGTAGGAGTGCTTCATGGCTGCTGTGGACTCTAATGATCTGGGGCTTGCTAAACTTGAACTTTTGCTTCCAGATGTACCCGCTGTCCTCTCTGCCTCAGTGATTTCTGCTACAGAACTGTGAATGTGTGTTGATAGGAACCAAGGTACTCATTACTGAGAGCTGCAGAGCAGAACTGTACTGTTGCTTTACATTTTTGACTACTTTTTCCTTACCTTGCGTTGGCACCAGCTTGTGATTGCAGCCAATGACTGTTGTAAACCTTTGCTTCCTTGTCTCGTCTGTTTCAGTTTGGGTACCTTGCGTTGTTTTGCCATTTGATCTCTGTTGATGTACCAAGCCTAGGTTTAAAAATCTCTTCCGAATAGAAGCTAAAACTGAATTGGGTATTGAAGTATGCCAGTGTTTTGGAAGACCTCAGAAGAGGCCTGGATTTGGGTACAGCCTTGCAGGATCTGCCTGCCGTGATCTCTGTTCGTAGTTTTTCTTCTCAAGCAAGGTATGAAACCTTGTGACTTAGTGATTTCTAATGTTCTCTTAATGCAGGCTCTTAATTGGTACGATTAATAGTATGACTAATAATAATACTAAAAAAAGTGGACCCACTTCTCAATTACATGTAGGTCAATTTATGTATTCATCATCTTGGGACCCAGCTGTGGACCCTCAGCTGGGTCTTGTCATCCCTTGATGTTATCAGAGCTCCTATCAACATGCTACAGGGCATAGATCAGATCTGCGGATTTTGGCATGGCTCATAATTTTAGGTGGGAACTCTGCAGCTCATAGTGTTAATAGTGAAAATTTAGAGGACAACATTCTCAATTTTGACTTAGTTGTACCTGTGAAGTGTGAGTCGAGGAAGTCTTAGTCTACTAAGATTCTCAGGCTTCTTAACTAGTGTTGATCAGCTCCTGGTGGAGTTCTGAACATTAAGAGCACATGCTTGAGTTGCAGTCAGGTGGGAAGAAAGGTCCTTTAAGATTTTTTTCATTAGAGGACTAGGATGTAAACCAGGTGCTCAATGATGGTGTGGTTCTCAAATCACCCTCTCATTTGAGATGACTAAATTTCACTGTAGCCGCTTAATGTCAGGTAGGGTGGGATAACTCATATTTGAAAAGGTCATTATATTTCTATAGCCTATAAGCAATAAGGCTGCAGAATAGAGCCTTGCTTGGAGGCAATACTTCAAATGCAATAATCTTGTTGCCTGTGCTAGTGCTGTTCACATGGTCTTGCCCTGTAAAAAGGAGGATGCTCTCTAACAGGGCAGAGTTTTGCTTTTTGTATAGGATTCTTTGCATAGGCTCAGGCAGGTGTTAGAGTTGGCTGGTGGTGTTTGAGGTGTGGCATGTGCTCAGGTACGTGGCCTGGCACTGCCTGGGGAGGCATTTAGCTGCTGTAGGAAGGTGACAGCAGCTGGCAGGACTGTCATGTGGCATGAGCTGAGCTTCATGTATTGCCAGTAAGAACTCTTGCCCCTTCTCTGCAGTCTCCAGCCAGCCCCTGCGTGGAAGGGCTGGGGTGGAAGTGGCTCTTGGCTGGGTCTGGCCTCTGTGTTGCCTTTCAGATGGCTGTGGGGTCAGAGAGGGGACAGCGCTCCTCACTGACACCATTGTGGGCCCAGCCACACGCAGGGACTGGGAAGCAGCTGGAGCTGTGGAATGGCTGTGTCATGGCAGCTCCTCTGTGGTGTGATGGGCACATGATCTTTCTGTGGTGCCTTTTACTCAAGGATAAGCATCTTGCTTATTTTTCAGGAATTACAACATAGTAGGCAAGGTTGGCATTGTTAAAAAACAAACCTTGCTCTTCTTATTGGGAGTGATCACATCAGTGATATGATAATAACATCTGCTACTAAAAGAGCAACAGGCAGTGGTTTTGGGCTTGTTTTGGTGTGGAGAACTATGAGTACCTTTTATGTGGACCTAATAGCTTGTTGTTACATCTTATTCCATGCACAGAACTACTGGTACTGTGTGAGTTGATTATATACGATTATGACTTAATTACTGGTCTGAATTTTTAAGTGAGGAGTTTAAATGAAGAACCATCTTATCTCAAATGTGGGCTTGCCATGTGTATATGTTGCATGTGAGATAATTTCTGCTATATATTGGTCATTATTAATTATCTTTGTTGAGTCTTCTGCTATATATTGGTCATTATTAATCATCTTTCTGAGTCTTTCATAGTACATTAAATTTAAATTTTAGTTTGTGAAGTTATTCTGGGTAATCTTCAGCACATACAAGGAGAAGTTAGTAGTAATTTCCATTTAACTTTGTGACTGGTCTACATATAGCTCATTTAGAAGCTTACAAAAGAATAGAGAAATATGAGGCTCCCTTGCTGCTTCTGTACATGCACTTCTGGGGTAAACCCTTTAATGGCTGCTACTAAAAACGCAGGTATGAGCATTGCTGATCTGGAGGCCTGACCTTAGGTAGCACAGACCAGAAGAGGAAGCTGTAGCTGTAAAAAGAGTTTGCTTGTGGCTGAGGAGCATAGAAATAAACTTTTCATCTGCCAGGCCAGGTTATTTTTGTGTGATGACTGCTTTCATTTTTGTTTACAACAGCAACACAGGTTAATTTCCTGAGCTTCTTTATGCTCCTTACAAATCCCCACAACACAAGCACCTTCTGCAGGGCTCAATGGAGGCTTTGTCTTCAGCATGGCATGGATGTGCTTCCTTAGAGGCATAGGCTGGCTGAACATTGCAGCACTCTCACATGGTTTCCAATACTTTGAATCTCCAGCCAGCAACACACAACAAAATATCTTCTTCTGCATATTTGAGATCAGAATTCAGGCTCACAGTGGAAATGTTGTCTGTGCAAACAGCCACGCTATTATTAGTACTTCCTCAATTATGGGAGCTACATGCGAGTCTTTGTTGAGAGTTTTCATGGCATGTAATTTTTTATGGTTGGAGTTTCTAAATGTGAGCGAAATTGCTGCTGTTTTAAAATCTTTGGTTGTTCATTGTGCAGGGCATAATCTATATAATTTTAATTTGTGCATTTCCTTCTTTCTACTAGAGTTACAGTGTATCATAGAGGGAGCATTTTGACAGTGCTGGACAGTGGCTGGGTACCTGGATGTTTGTAGGTGCAAAGCCTATCTATGACATTTACTTGCCTGCTTGAAAGATTCCCAGTATGAGCAAAGGCGAGAGACACTACTAAACCAGTTGGTGACTGCACATCTTGTTGATAGCCTCATGCTTTTAGTTTGACTCCAAACTTTGAATGGAAATAGTACCTTGAACATTGTTAAAGGTTACTGGAAGTGTAGGAGGAGCTAGCTGATTTTTTTTTTTCCAGCAGGGAGGACCTACTGCTATGTAGGGATGGGAGAATGGAAGAACTTTGCGTTAAATGGAGCTATCAGTAGGAAATTAATTTTCAGCAGGAGATGACTGTGCAGGGTAGGACTTCAACTGGGAGAGGGGGGAAGAAAATGAAGTGTAGGTAAACTTGTGCTAATATGAAGTGTTAGAAAGCAAAGAGTGTGGGCAAAAAAGTGATCAGGCATCACAGGAAGAGAAGAACAAAATAGACGCATTGCTCTGGAAGGCTGCACCAGGGCTCTTCTCTAAGTGCTTTCCAGCTGTTTCCAAATGTATCTGCACATAAACAGGCCTCCTGGGGCTATTAATCCAAAATTCCAGGAGAAAATCCAAGATTAAGTGGGAAAAGTATTTCTGTAATCCAACAAAGAATGGACATGTAAATGTGGTCCAACCAGAGCTCAATCAATAAATTCATGGCCTCATTTAGTTATCTTCTGTGGCCTTCCTGGGCTTTCAGTGGAAAAGACAGGGAAATACATGTCCATATATTTCCATAAATGTTGTTCATATTCGGCACGTCACTGAAAGTACTTATTTTCCTATCATCATCAGGAAATTGGAAGAATCCCTTGATAACAGAAGCCAAGCAGTCCACCCATCACTCTTTTCCTTCTGTGCTCTCTGTAAAGATACCACAGGCCATTGCGGAAAACTGCTTTCTCCACATGTAGAAATGTAATAAGAGAAAAGGTAGCTGTGCTTCTAACCCTGTCTCAGAACTGAAGAAATTGCATCTACAAAGAAGAAGGAATGGCAGCTCTAAATGGAGGAAGGAGGATGTTGGTGTTTGCTGTGGTGCCAGGCCTGTGGGGTCTGTAACTGACCTTGACTTTGCATGGTGCTTCAAACCCATCTGGTGTGAGTGGGGAAGAGGGCTGAGGCTGTGTTTGACATGAGCACTGCTTTGGGGAGGAGGGGGGACCTCTGTTAGG